TTTTTTTTTTTTTTTTTTTTACACGGTTATTTTCTCGTCTATAAAGTTCAACGTATCAGCTCGACGATCCTCCGTCCGTGAAAATATATGGAAAATATATCTTTCCGGATTGAAACGATCGATTCGACTTGTTGGCTGGTTCATTGACTGTCGTTGTTTTTTTAACCGGAAAAACACCTTTATTGGCACCGTTTCGATTTTTTCAACTGATCGATCGCGAGAAATGACGATCTGTCAGCTCGACGAGAAATTGTTATCCAACTATTTTTCTTTCCTTTTTTTTTTTTTTTCGATGGCTGAGCACTCGAGCACGATATCAGGGAAATATCAATTCCTGATTAATGCAAGTCGTGTTTGATTTCAGCGAAAAATCAAATGTTCACGCGAAATGCACGGGTGTTGAACTACGGCTGTGACATTCACAACGGAAATGCGACGGAAATGTGCCGTTTCTTTTTACAGATGGCGGCGGTACGAAACACGACGTTTTTGAACGTGATACAAAGCGACGATGAAGAGGATGATGGTTACGTACCGTACGACCAACGACCTGAAACATATATAGTACCTGTGGTATTCTTATTAATCCTGGTGGTCGGCGTAATTGGAAATGGAATCCTGGTGTTCACTCTGTTGTGCGATGCCAACATGAGAAACGTGCCCAACACATACGTGCTCTCTCTAGCCTTGGGCGATCTTTTGGTAAGAGGAACGCAGAATATTCCGTCTAATTATCTATTTAACGATTAAAAAACAGGTACTTGATTTCTGATGGAACCAAAGGAACAAAAGATTTCATGCAGATTTCATACAGACAGATGGACAAAACAATTTAAAACTTTTCACTCATAAAATATAGAATATGTTCAATATATATATATATATATATTTATTTATTTATTTATTTATTTATTTATTTATTTATATAATGATGTGTTAAATTTGATAAACATACAATAGCGGCCAAAAGTTTGCGTTCATGTTTCATACTTATTGTTAGTCCAGTGTTGCGCTACGTGTTAATTTCTGCATAGTTTTTGTTTGTATCATGCAACACACGTGAGACACGTGCGTTTTCTGCACACAATGAAATCGCTGTTAGTATTAGAAATGTATGTACTCCATGGTCTCTGTATGGTACTCTGTAAGGTCTATTTTATACATGGAACCTCTGTCCAAACTTTTGCCTGATAGTGTACGAGTAATTATTCACTGTGGTGTACATTTTGTGATAATGTTTGTTTGCGAATGATCCTCCTCCAAAAACGAAGAATTAATTTCACAAGAATTATGCGATCCATCATAGCTCGGAAGCCACGGCCACGAAATATTCATCAGTTTGCCAGCGTGAAAGTCATAAATCTTGGTCCAATGATTCATAAATTTCACTAGACGCTCTATTGTTCATCCGTAAATACGTAACAAATTGCGATACATGGCCAACAAGTTGGGAATAATCTCTGACAAAATGATCGGATATTCGTCAACGTCGCGCACGTGAGCGCACAAATGAGAAAAATTCTCCCGCTCGTCTTCAGCCTTTTTTTCAACGTTCCGCCAATCGAGAAATCTTGCTAGATGCCTACTCGAATCATACCTACATCCAATTCGTGTAGGCTGTCAGATCGTGCGAACAAATCTGTCGCCAGTGAGTTCAAGATATCTAATATTTTCTACTTTTCTATGTGATCGATTTTATCGTTGAACATAGATAGGATTCGCGGAAGCATCTGCGGATTTACAGGGAGTTTTTATTGGTGCGCCGAGACATGATTTACTGGTGCATCGAGACATGAGAATTTGAAAGGTTTGGAACATTACCAGA